AAGTAAGTAACAAGTCTGCCATGTTTGTTCTGACCAACTGAGGAAAAAAGCATTACAATAAATCGAGCTACCAATGGTGATTTAATCTAAAGATCGGTTAGCTCATATCACATCAAACCGTTCAAATTATTATTATTGTTATACTTTATTCTCAAATTATTAATGTTAACAACATCAGCATTGGTGACTATTAGTATAGTTTGTATTAGCGTGTAGATTTCAATTTCTGCACAGTCTAATCTAATTGTCATACTCTTTGAATTTCATATTAAGAAATTCTTTTAACCCAAAAAGCAAATTATTCTTCCTTCGAACTGGTTCTCTTTAAAATACAAATCCCGTGTAATCCCAGGCTATCTGTAAACTGGAATAATTTAATTCCAGTCACATGTGTTTCATAAACATAATCCTTTCTGGATTAAACTGCCATCAAAATGATACATTTAATTATTCCAGCTGCTGTGAGAAAAGGCTATAAATTATCGGCCACCTGCAGGATCCTCACATGCGATAGCCTAGTAGCCGGGACAGCTTCTTTATGTTTACAGAAGTGACGAAATGACGCAGCAGCATGCTCAAATTTCCCACGAAACCACCCATACCACTCAAATTAGAAAACATTATTATAAGCTAACCGTTGTGAATCGGGCTAAAGTAAGGCGATAGTTTTGAACACTGGCTGGTTATGTACTTGCTCAAATATTGATTTTGGATTATTTTTAACCAAAAAAAAGTTACGGACTGCAGCTTTAATATCCTAATGATTTTTGGCATAAAAGAAAAATGTATCATTTTGACCCATACAATGTATTTTTGGCTATTGCTACAAATATACCCGTGCTACTTATGACTGGTTTTGTGCTCGAGGGTCACATATTTCAGCTAATCTAATTTGGCTTGCAAGTTAACAAGCTAAAGAAACTTACATCCATGATATGATGCAGGTGAGCCCTCAGACTTGCCATACTCCTCTGAGTAGCTGGTGGAGAGGTTGGGCTGGCTGGAGCCACGGCCGAAGCTGATCTGATTGTTGCTGTCCACACTGGTGGCCACCTGTGCCATGCGCTCCTTAGTCTTCAGGGCCTGAGAGCGTTCACCCTTCAGACGGTCGTCATCCTTCAGCAGCACAACCAGCTGCTTCGACTTCTCTCTGACGTTGATGCCCTGGTCTTTGCCATCCCGATCGATATACTGGAAATCTTTGAGCGTCTGTATGGCAAAGATGTTCTCTTTGCACTGCAGGGCCACTCGCTCGGAGCCCGTTTTGATCAGGTAGTCCAGCAGCGTCAGGGCCTTGTACACATGCCGCCAGTTCTTTCCGTGGTCATTCAGCCTCTTCCAAATCATGGTCATTATCTCCGAAAAGGCCACCACATTGTAAGTGAGGTCAGCAATCTCTGACATCAGAGAACTGGAGGGGCCCCATGGGTCATTGGAAGTCGCTTCCCTGACCTTCTTCTCCGGCTCTGAATAGTTATTTACCACATTTTTCATCTGTCTCCGAATAGTTGAGCTTGGCATGATGGCGTGTAGTGTTAAAATCCTTGAGAATTGAAAATAAACTCAGTTTTGCTTAAAAAAAAAAAAAGTCTGTTGTGTAATAGTTCGAACACACGTTCTCCGTTTGAACAGTTTCTCTGTGTTACTCTGTGCCTGTTAAAACCATTTCCACAGAGTGAAGGAAGCCAGCTCGATGAATTCCTCCATTACCTGAAACACAAAACCAAAATGTCAGACAGAAACGGAAAAGGTTCAAACCAGAACCTAGTAATAGTTGCACAATTAGACTGCATAAAATCTAGTGCACATAAAAACAGTAAAAGCAATTATCATGTTCGTTTTTTTTTCCACAAACATTACACAAAAAGAAAGTGATCATGTTGATAACCATGGTGAATTGCACAATGTGCATACAGAAGTTTAATGGTCCATTACCAAACTATACTTGCAGCTCCTTCAGTTAATACCACAGTTCAGATATAGAGAAATGGATCACAGCGGTTCACTTTTCAACGCATCATACCACCCAGGTACACGTGGAGTAAAACATAACTGTGTACACACAGAAGGGCGGCTTAGTGTGTGAAGTGCTTCCTATTACTCATCTTTTACGGTAACAACACTTATGTGGGAAGACATCTTATTTCCCAAAAGTAATTGCACCATACCATGCTCTCCATTACAGTACGGCATGTAAAATCAGTCTATGCTTGAATTCAGCACAAATGAGGCATCAAAGTCATAACTAAATATAAGTTTCCTGTCCTGAGCACACCATGACGCTTCAATCGACAAGAAACCATCTCAACCCATTCCATAAATTCATTAAAAGCTACTGAAATGTGACTCCTGCTCTCCTGCGGAGGAGCCAATAGAGCGCTGCCTTACGAGCAACCCCCACTTCCGCTCCCCGAAGCCCGCATACACATGAATACAGCCGTGGCCTAATGAAACATCTGCTGCTTTAATGACCAATTCAGGCCCAGCACATCAGAGGAAGAGAGGGGCAACTGTATCACTACCGGAACAAAGCTCCAGTGGCTCTCACTGTGACGGGGGCCCAGGAAGCCAGCACACAGGCCCGGGTCTGTGTAAGGATGGCCTCCTCCATACTAAAAGAACAGGTCTGGCAATGTCCTGCCAATATCAAGGAGTCTCAGTGATCGGTCTTGAAGCAGCGCCAGAGACTGAGCATAGCAAGTCCTGTGAGCAGCACTGGCTCTCTGTTTTCTACTTCAAGAAGACATGAAACCTGTCCAGGAAATCGGCTGAAGTAATACTAGGACACTTTAAAAGATGTAAATGCTTCAAAAAAGAGGAGTCCCAAAGAACCCGATCTGCTTCTATAAAATACAGTTTTGACAACACTCCTGTTGCACTACATGGAAATGCTGCTATAAATTTATTTTGGGGAATTGGCAGTGTTTTATCAACACCAGATCGCTACAGAACTTCCTTATTCTGAGAACTGTAGAATACCTCCTCGAAATCTCCTTCAATATTTGGTTAACAATATTTTCCTACTTAACTGCAAAGAGAACGGAGCAGATTTTATATGCCAGCTAATTTTACCTTTGCTAAAACCAAGGTTTAAAAAAAAAAAATAGTAATTTTTGTTAGAATAATTAGCAGCAATACACACAATGCATATTCACATTGTAAAACACAAGACGTGGAAAGTGGATTGGGAAAAGTGTAAAGTCTTGCAATGTGTTTTAAAAACTAAACTATTTGAATGTCCCTTTTTTAATGTTTCATGTGCAAGGTTCTAACATGAGAAAACAATGAAAAAGGTGAATTAATGTGTTCTATATGAACGGCCCTTTAGACTGCATAAATTTAGTGCACCCAAAAATAAAATTACTTATTTGGAAAACTGCTGAATATCACCAGCAAAAAAAATGCAAATTCTATAATATAGTGAAAATGTATTACCATATAAAAACCGAACACCCCATTAAATGGTTTGACTGACAGTTTTCTTTCCTGTGTGGATGCATTTCCTATTGAAACAGGTGGTTTGGGTACATTACATACTTTATAGAGCCCGACCGATATGGGTTTTTTGGGGGCCGATGCCGATACCAATATTAGGGAGGGGGAAAAAAGACAGATATCGATATATCGGCCGATATTCTTTATGTGTAGGCTATATTATAGTACAGTATAGTAGGGCTGCACGATTAATCGAATGCGATTGTCGTGCATTTTGTTAAAAAAGCCGGCTCTGTAATCAGCAGGAAATCCTCATCACGTGTTTTCAGATGGAGCAGAATTTACTACACATAGCCGTAGTTCACTGACAAGTTACGCCAAAAAATCGATTTTGCGCGATTATGAAATTTAAGAAATCATTTGCGATAATGACAGCTGTTTGCATAGCTTCTCAGTGAACTACGGCTCTGTGAAGTAAATGCTGCTCCATCTGAAAGCATGTGAAAATACCACATTTAATAACATTTTTTTACTCCAAATTCACTTCATAACGTCAGTCGAGTGTTTGAAATAAATCCTTCTGTGAGATGATGTGGCTTCTTACACTCATTCTAGACCACATCTGATGGGAAAACAATATGAGCAGCACAGAAAAGGTCTTCAATATTTTCGGCCCATTTTCCCATAAGAGAAAGACTATTTTTAATTTCACGAGAACAAAAAACAACCCTAATGCAAATTGCACACAGGCACTAAAGCGAAAATCAGCCCACACAACATAGGCCATACAATATTGGCAGCAAAAAGGCAAGAATCACGGTGACCTTGCTGCACACAGCAACTGATTTGACCTATTCCTCCAACATTTGACATGCGCAGGCCATGCTGATCCATGACCGGCCGCATGACACCCATGCAATGAATACTAATCCTGCATAAGAAACACCAAGAACAAGTTCTGCACAGCTGTGAAGGACAGGTTACCCTGATATGACTCAATCCAAACAAAAGACGAGCATGGCAAGTGCCAGCATGTCTCATGTCTTTAAGGATCCATTGTGGAAGCATCAAGGAAGGGTGTGTGGTTGCAGAGCGAATCCAGCAGCGAAGAAAAAGCAGGTGTTAAGATTTTGCATGCTAAAACACTACAAGAATTAAGAGGGAGAATTAGGGGGGAAATGCACACGCATCTTGAATTACTCCATAGAAGTCAGGCCTGCAGGGCGAACTGAAAAAGGTGGATGTTATATAAGCCAGCGCTTGTGAGAACGGGCTTCTCCTCACAGGTAAACCAGCCGGTTCTGCCACTTCAAGTCAACTGCTTCCTATACATAATGCTACAGAAATCTCTCAACATCTAATGTATTCAATATTCTAGCTATAAATCAGTAAGAAAAGACGTGACAAATGGTAAACTCCACTTTGGTGGCTAAATAAAGGCAGATGATCGGCTCTTGCTGTGCTGTCCTCCAGAGACTCTTTTTGTCTAATTACAGGAAGCAAAACATTAAAAAATGAAGATGCATGCAGAAATTGATCAGACAATGGCTCCCCTCTTTCATGGGTGTGTCCAGCAAGAGATCAGAGGAGGAACTGTGAGAAATCTCCGTGTTATGGGGATAAAACCGTTCTGGTCATACTGTCCACAATCTTTGTAGTGTCGACAAAAACTCGTCAAACCACAAATCCGTCTTTGCCAAAACTTAAGCAACGGATTTTTGACTACACAGTAATCTCACAGACAAACCTTTGGACAAACTAATCTAAGAACACCATAAATGTAAACTGAGCAGAAAGTGTTTGGTGAATATCTCAAGAACGGTTTGAATAAACCAAAGTTAAGTCGTGGTAAAATATTTATATAAGATACTATAGCTAGACGAAATACACTTAAGTTACAGTTTATACCAAATGGACCAAGATTACAGAGGTGAATAGAAAATCTGAGTTTACAACTCCATTTAAATACACGTTATCCGTTACACAAACACAAATAATCTTAACGAGGCTTGTTAACAGCAGTTTAACCAAACAAGGCCGGTTACAAATGTATTAAAGTACGTTATCGAACTAACTTTAGCACAACCAAACTAATAAAATGTACTAACATGGACCGAAATACAAAACAAACCTGCGCTTAACTGTCCTTGTATATTTTTAAATGTATAAAACAACATTAACGTTTTTAGTCTGTTTCCATCTAAGGTTTAATTGCTAACTAGCAAGCTACAGAAACACGACGAAAGTTTCGTTAACTATGATAACTTTTTAAAAACTAAACTAATTTATGTTACTAATATAATGTTGTTGAAAATGTTGTAAGACTCAGCGCATCCAGACTGTCGTGGTTTGGTGTTTTATTTTTAGGGACACCGACTCTTTAAAAGCTATAAAGTGAGTTTAAGTATTAACGTTAGCCGTTTAGGCTAGCTAACTGTGGCTATGCTCCGACTAACTTGCTAATTTAATAAAATATCGCTCTAATTCCTTTCAGACTGCAAAGGAAATCGAGCTTTATCATAGCCTTTCACTTTAAATAAAGTGTTTAAGCAAAAACAACCAGAATTAGTTAAAGCTCTAGCCGAAATGTGTGTGGTGCTCGGTGGAGATATCGCCACACTGAGAGAAGCGACTAGAAAACAAAACCAGTAACTTACCAAACCTCCTGTGCCGATGATGACCAGGGGTAACACCCGGCATAAGTACAAACTACTCGTGTGAGAGATATAGAAACTTTATTTTCTAAGACACGGTCGAGGTGTGTGCTGATGTGAGCGTTAGTGTTAGTGTGCTGGGCTTGTGTGTGTGTGTGTGTGACACCCACAGCGTTCAACATGGCGCTCTGACTGCACATTCATCCTCCTCTGAGGGGCGAGACAAGCCAAAGGGTGTGACCAAACTCACTGGGCTTCATTCTTAAAACTCTTTATTTCCCAAATATCACCGCTGCGAGCCTCTTTACGGCCATGGAAGTCAACCAAGACACCTATTAAGCGGTGTTCTACTGAAATGAGTGTACACTTTCCGTCATCGTGAGATAAGTGTGCTCTTGAATGACCGAAACCGATAACTCGGCGGAATGTGGCCCCCAAGTGGGCTTATATTGGAGACATCTGACTGTGGCCCCGAGGTGGAATGTTTCTAGGAAATAAACTTCACGTTCTCATCGTGTTTAAAATAGCTCTGTCTCAGAAGAAGATGTGGACGATTCATAACAGTAAAATATTACACAATAACATTCCCCTTTGTTATGCAAAAATGTAAAATAGCCTAATTTCCACCAAAACACCACGGTTATGGTTAATAAGGTAAAGCAATAAAAAAATAGCAAAAATAAGCAATAATAGAATTTAAACTTTTTTTATTTTTAATAAATTTTTGATAAGTTTTAGGATTATCAGACTTTTATTTTATTACATTACATTACAGTAATGGCAACTACCATGCTACCACAGTTTAACTAGTAAACTGTACTAAGTGGTATTTTAGAAAAAATAGATATGGTTACTATGTTTTTGAGATTAAAAAAACAAAACAGACAGATGATGTGGAAGTTATCATTAATATAAATGTAGGTGATATATTTTAAACTGTTCTTTTGGTGAAAGAAATAACAGTAAGTAAGCGAGTGAGTGAGTAAATAAATAATAATAATTAAATATAATTAATATCAAATGGTTTAAATTAATAAAATTTAGATGGTTCTTTGAATAGACAGACTTATACACATAGCCTTTGTTTTGTCCCTGTCAAACCAGACGATTACCAAATACAGACAAAAGACACTTAAGGTTTATGAACTTACTTGGACCCAGATGTAACAGTAAAAACATTAGAATGAACATAATTTGATGCTTTTTAGTAACTATGATGCCATTTTACTACTTACAAACATAATATATGTGTTAAAATGTGAATCTTCTATTTGACTGTTGGAAATAAAAACCATTGGACACAGTTCAACTCATTAAAGAAGAATTTTTAGTGAAATGTGGCGCATACATTGACTTATGGTCGGGCTAGACTAGATTTATTTTTACTAGTATTGACACGAGTTCACCAGTAAGGGGCAGCATGGTGAAGATTTTCCTTCTCATGGTACTGAAATAGAAGTGTGTAATGATGATAAATCCTCTTTGGGGGAAGTGAAGTGAAACAACTTCTAAATCTGTGTACAGTCGTTCTAACTTTTACTCCATCTTATTACATCTCAGTATTGTCATCTCATTAATTACAATATGTGGTAAACAATAATGTTGCTCTCCTCTAAAAGTGTTCAAACCCTGTCTTTGACCTTAAAAGAGCCGTGTGGTGAAGCTGTGTGGTCCCTTTCATGATGCATGCATTTATTTCTGCATACAGTCTGCATGTGACATCCCACAGTGAAGCAACACAGTAGTTTCCATTTAGCAATGTAGAAATGTTTCGCAATCTGCATAGTTTCCTTCGCATGACTTCTAGACATAATATGGCGTTCCTCTTGTTTCTTTTGTCAAGTCAGTGTAATTTCATTATCTAATGGTACTATGCACAAGATTTGAATAATAATGAGCAATGAAACTCAGATTTACAGTCCAACATGAATATTTGTATTATAATGGCCTTTAAATGTGGATCATAATATATGCTAGATGTAAGGCATGGCTTATTCTGTAAGAGATGCAATGACTACAAATAATTTAGTCATCCTTAAATGATGATTCACACAAAAATGAAAATTCTGTCATCATTTACTCACCCTCATGTTGTTCTAAACCTGTATGATTATTGTGAAGAATGTTCATAACCAAACAGTTTTGGTTGTATTGTATATATCCTATTTTATTTTCCACAGAAAAAAGCATGTAATGCAGGTTTGAAACAACAAGGAGGCAGAGTAAATTATGACTGAATTTTTTATGTTGGTTTATCCTTTTTATTTTATCCTAAACTATTTGTTTAGGAGAAAGTTTCACCCCAGTCTTTATTCTTTTTTTTTTTTGGCGAAGAATAGCATGCATAACGTCTTTGTAAATGAGAATGTAAATGGTGTGGTTATTAATCATAGGCCACAGGCTCATATGAGCAATACTAGCAAGTGTGAAATGGTTGCAGTGCATCTATATTTTTCAGCCTCTGTCACCGAGACACCCCTCTGTTTGTGGTTTCCTTGTTTCATGCTCAGGAAGCCCTTTTTCTGCCCCCCATAATGTTTATATCGTTGCATGTGTTTCTCTGGATATATACTGTGTAATATATAATGTTTATACTGTGTGTGTATATATATATATATATATATATATATATATATATATACACACACACACACACACACACACACACACACATACATACAGTGTGTGTGTGTGTATATATATATTAAATAAGATCCATAAAAACACACACACACCAACACATATAGTTTCCTCTAAGTGGTGAAATTAATGCTACAATGGGCTTCCTGCAATAAAATGTTTCTTTTTACATAAGCATCTTGACTTTCTGTCAGCAGCTTCACACCACCAGCAGTTTCTCATGTGCAATCCTACACCTGGGTGCAAGTCACATTCACAGGTTGTCTTTTGTGGTGCAAAATGTTTCCAAGTTGAAGTAGCAGTTTAAGTCATGGAAAATATTGTGTTGAGTGCTGCTGACATCCTAACTAGACGTTTATGTCTGTACACATACAGTAGGTTCGTCACATTTAAATGATCATTCATGAAGCAACTTTCTTTCTTTATGGCTAAACTTCAAATGTTCTGAAAGGGAATTTGTAAACAGCTCCTCTCCGCCTTGGGGAGTGTTCATAACATCAGCTCAAACAGCAATAATGACTGTCTGTGTGCGTAATCAGTCCCATTACGGTCCTCTTGCATAGGCAATGCCAAGACAGACTCTTTGAATTTGATCATGATGTCTCGAGTGTGAAATCTTACAGTAAAATAGTGTATTTCAAAGCTCTAAAATGAGAGCAAGAATGGGTATACCCATTCTGCAACTACTCAACCCTAGAACATGTGAAATACAATCAGATGCATATATAAAATTAATTGTTTAGTCAATGAAAATCAATTTTAATTATAATTTAGATGTGAGAGAGAATGTGTGTCCGGTTGCTCAATTAATAGTAAATCACTTCGCGAAAGCATCTGCTGATTGACAGCTTGCTAGCTATACTTTCTTACTAAATGTAAATATGTTCATTGATATGATATTAAAGATATCATGCTGGAACTGTGAACAACTGGAACAGATGGAAAATGAAAACATATGAAAGTTAGAGGTTTCATTTTAAAAACATAAATGTGCAAAAATAAATTCTTTTCACTGAGGAATATCAAATGAAAAGACCATTTCTTGTGAAATATCTAGCCACAAATGGGACGGTGATGTGCATTTCAGGGCTAAACAGCAGCACCAATAGAGAAACATTCATTGTGAGGTGTTCAGTGAGTCACGCAGCTCTGGGGACGTTTGCTCATCTCAAAACACATATGTTCTTTGAATCATGAATTCTTTCAGATGAACTCCTCAGCTGATTTGATTCACCTCCAGCTATTTCCAGACAAAGAAGTGCTAGTAATATCTGAGGAAAAGTCTAAACTAACACTTGCTCGGTGACAGATCTGCTCATAAAACAGCAGTCAGGCAAACACATGCGTGTTATTCTTTACTTGTAATACGCAGGTCCGGCTCTCTGATGAGGGGAAGTTTTCAAGAGGCCATTCTTTTCGTCGTCGTCCTCCCATCATTTTTTCTACTTTCCTGTTTCTCACATAGCTGTATTTCCTTCTACAAGAGCACACTGAAACAGGAACTGCCACCCCTGCCTCCCTCCCACATGCTTCTCTCTCTCTCTCTCTCTATCTCTTTTAGACCCACACACATTCTCATGCTTGTTCTCTCGGTTCATTTATCTCTGTGCGGTGTTTGACAGTGAGCGTGTCTCTGGACGGGCTGTTTCAGCGTGGATGCTCTCTGGGCTCGCCCTTTCCTCTCTTCTGTATTCTGTTGCTGTGGTGGGACGTCTACACACATTGATCTTCTGGGATCTGGCTTGACCTCCAGCTCAGGATGGAAGCAGTAGCTCTTTACAACTTTTGTGCCACGGAAAGTGACGAGCTTAGCTTTCAGAAGGGAGATGTACTCAAGGTAAGAGCAGTTTTGTGTTGGTTTATGCATTGCTTGCTGAATGATATGATTTGTTTATGGTCTTTTCTTCCACTAGATCACTAATATGGAAGATGATCCTAACTGGTACACAGCAGAGTTGGTGAACAGGAAGGGCTATGTACCTAAAAACTATATCAGCGTAAGGCCGCACACGTAAGTACAATTTTATGTCTGTAATCCTTGGAAAGTATTAATTTGACTTGTGTTGGTATTGACTTTGGTAGATCAGAATGGAGCACAAGTGAATTGTCTCATTGAGATTAAACAATCTACTGCTTCTCAGAGAAAAAGACCACGTAAATCTCAAATTTGACTCCAGTATACCAAAGTGTGTTGTCATATGTTAGATATGTCAGTATAAATGCAAATATTTCTCATAAAATTCTTCCAGGACCAAATTATTTGAGCTGTTATATTTGATTTTTTTACATTATTTTATAGCTAAGTCAGCATATGCAGTATACAATGTAAACATACACACACAGTATAAAACAATTGTATTATTATCGATGTTGAAAACAGTTTTTGCTGACTTATATTTTTGTGGAAACCAGGATACACAACCATTCAAAACTTTGGAGTAAGATTGATTGATTAAGATATTAATATATTTTTATTCAGCAAGGAAGCATTAAATTGGTCAAAAGTGACATTAAATACATTTATAATGTTACAAAAGATTTATATTTCAAATACGTGCTGTTCTTTTGAACTTTCTATCCTTTAGACAGTCCGATTTT